CTCCTGATTTACTGTTCCTCTCCCCTCATGAGAATTTAGGTACTACGAGGGCAGAGACATTTAACAAATTTATTCTGTGGCTCTCGCACAGAGCAGACATTCAAGAAATGCTTGTTGAATCAATAGCTATGCATGGTCCAAAGTCTGGTTCTCTGGTTGGCAGTGTTATCAGTGACTTCACTGGATTCTGGGTCAGTTATCCCTTAGGGGAAGTTTTTCTCTAAAGGTAATTGATTTCATCTACTGTGTGAGGATCTTGCTAAAATCATTCTCAGCAGCAATCACAGCTCTAGATCTTGGCTATACCGCAGCCAAGGTACAGGGTATTCCTAGGATATGGACAGAATGAGTATGAAAATATGACTCTGACAATCTGGGTTCTAGTTTTAGCTCTAGCGTATCTGGCTAAGGCTTTCAATGTTTCTTCAATTGATAAACTTGATGATAAACAGTCTCCAAAACTTCTAATTCCGAATAGCCATCTTATTCTGTGTTTAGAGCCCAGAAGAGAAGGTCAAACATAAGAACTGCTAATGCAAGTTCTTCAATAGAAGAGAGTATTTGTTGGGGGGGGGGGGGGCAAAAAATAACATGCCAGGCAGTGTAGGTAATTTTGTAGGTAAATTCCTCATGCACCAGCTAAGTAACAAAAGGCTCAGAGGTGCTATGTGATACCCAGGGAACGAAACAAGCAATGTCAGATCTAGAATGCATCTCATCTTGTCTGACTCCAAAGGCTATATGTGCTATTTATCCACTATACCAGAAATTCCCAACCTGGTTATCATCAGTCAAGGGGGACAATATAAGTACAGATTACTGAGCCCCACTGCAGATCTTCTTGGAATCTATTTTAAAAGTTTGCAAAGTGAGTCTAGTGACTAAGCAGGTGTGCGACTCCTACACTGTACACACCACAGACACTCTGCCTTCGAGGTGTTGAAAACATGGTCAATGATCCTCTGGCAGAGCACACTGGAAGGGCTACCGACTTGGGTTAAAGCGACTGGGTGACCTGTCGCCTCTCCGACAATGGTATCTGTTTTCAGTGTTGCAGCTTCACTTTTGCTTTCCCCAGCATCTGGACAGTGTCTACCAAACAGTTCCCAAATGAGTAAAAGACGCTGGATAAACATTACACCTTCAGCATCCTCTGAAGTTTTGTTGATTCCTATTTATTCTTTCCACTACCTAGAACTGTTTCTTTAGTATATATATTGTGTCCTATACCATGCAAACCTAGAAGAAGGACTGGAGATACAAAGTTCATTGGAAAGTATCTTCCTGCAAGGGGGAGAGTGTTGCGGAACACTAAGTATACAAAATAGAAGATGGAGGAGAAGAAAAGGAGACTTTCCAAAAATCCTTCCGGAAAACACTCTAGACTTCGTTATTATAGCTGTCCTCTACAGAACACTTGTGCAACAGTGACTTGTGATACACTCGTTGCCCCCCCCAAAAAAACCTTTCTTTCAGTTTGTTGAAAAAGCCAATTTGAGAGAATTGATAGCAGTGTGTGTTCTCCAACCACAGCAGAATCACTAATAGAAAAACATCTCTAAGCACCTAGAAACTAAAAACACACTTCTAAATAATACAGAAAAATAAGAGGAAAGTTCAAGGAAAAAAGTACATGGACATGAATGAAAATGAAAATATAACATACTGAAATAGGCGAGACATAGCTGTAGTTAAGCGAAGAGGGAAATTACTAATACCAAATACATACTAGAAAAGGGGAAAAGTCTCAAGTTAAAAATCTAAACTTCCCAACTTAAGAACCCAGCGAAAGGCAAAATAAGTCCAAAGCAAGCAGAAGGGAGAAAATGATGCAGAAATCAATAAAACTGAAAACAAAACAAAACAAAACAAAAATAGAGAGAAATCAATGAAACGAACTGGTTTTCTGTAAAGATCAATAAAATGGTCAAATATCTAGTCAGATGGATGTGAGCAAGTAAGAGCGAGAGAGAACAGCCACACCAATGTGTCAATAACACTAAGAAATGAGATAGGACTACAGATTATAGAAAATACATGTAAATTTCACAACCTAGAGGAAACAGTAAATTCCTCAAGAAAAACAAAATTCGACAACTCACATAATATGAAAAAGATCATTTGAATAGCTTTATAGCTATTTTTAACAATAACAGTTTTTATTGGGTGGGTCTTATATTTGCAAATTGGGGGGCATATTTTCAGGTAAGAGTCAAAACGGTCCTGAATAGCTTTATAATTCTTAAGAAACTAGAATTTGTCCTTTTAAAACTACCCCTATCCCACCAGAAAGTGAAAAGAAAGAATTCTCCAGGCCCAGATGGTTTCAGTGGGGACTTTTATCAAACATTTAAAGAAAAATCAATACCAACTCTACATAACTTTTTAATGGAGGAGGGAACCTTATCCCATCCATTTTATGAAGCTAGTACAGCTACCAATATCAAAACCAAACCACACATAAAACCGACACGTTGGTTTCTTTCATGAACACAGATGCCAAAATTCTCAACCAAGTACCAGGAAATATAATTCAGTGGTATATATAAGAATCATACACCATAAAAAAGTAGCCCTTCTCCCAGTGATATAGGTGGGCCCAAAAGTAATGTAACAGGCTAAAGAAAAATCACGTTTACATCACCCTGAGTTTTCAGACCTCTAACTGTCCATGTGTGCTAGACATCAAGTCCTTTTCTGTCTACATCTACTGTCCCTATGACTACCAACCTGCTTCCTTGAATTCCAGACTCATAACCCTAATCACTGGTGAGACACTCTGCCTGGAAAGGCATTTACAATTGGGTACGTTCAAATCTAAACTGTTCTTCCTCTCCAGATCAGCAATTTCAACAATCCAGTAAATGAAAACATTTTTATGGCTGCTTAGGCGAAAATCCTTGGGGTCATATTTATCTTTCTTTTGTGCTTCTCATGTAACTTGTCACCAAGTCCTGTTACCTCTTTCTTAAAATATCCCTTGAATCTGACCTTTTCCCATCACCTCTAACCTGATCTGAGTAACGACTGCCCAGCTGGTCTTCTGATTCTGCCCCTGCACCCTCAGAGTACACTGTCCACTCAGCCTCAGTGCTGCGCCCATTCTCAAAATCATCTGAAGTAATCTCATTCATTCAGAGTAACATTCAAAGTCCTCATTGCTGTCTACAAATTCCCAAGTGATGTGGTCACTTACTACATTTCTGAGTTCATTCCTAGTCTTCTGGTTATCACTCCAGCTTTATTGCTTTCCTTGTTCTTCAAAAATGGCAACAAGTAGGTTTTGCACACAACTTCCCTTCTGCCTGCACAATACTCAACCATATAGCATATGGTTTGTTCTTTCATTTCTTTCAGGGTTCTGACCAAATGTCACTGTATCAGAAAGACCTGCTTTGACCAGCATGTATGACAGGCTACCTGCCATCCATGCATCCCTCATCCCCTTTATGCTTCTTGCTTTTTATTCAAGGCATGTATCACTTTCAGACATCATATAACCTTGAGTTGAATCTTGGCTCTGTCATTTCTATGTCCAAGTAACTCACGGACAGGTTACTTATCCATGTTTTATGTTTTCTGATCTGTCAAATAGTAATAACATTCCCCATGCCATAGGATTGCTGCAAGGTTCGAATAACAAATATATAAATAAAAACAATACATAAAAAAGACGTACCAAAAAGAATACATAATGAATGTGTTTAACATTCAGTGACTTGCTATATAAAGTACTTGCTCAGTAGATTATATGTCAATTAATGACTAAGTTCTCAGAAATGCGCAGTTAGAGGATGTTGTGTGGATTGTACGGCGTGTGCTTGCATGTCATTGAAATGTACTTACTCAAACCTTGATGGTAAGTTACTTACAGGGATTACTGTTGTATGACATGTGATTCATGACTGTATTCTGAGTGTTATGTAATACAGAAAGGTGATCTAAACCTGGACTCTATTCCTTAGAGTCCAGACATTGTCTGTGATTTTGGGCAATTCGTCTCTTTTTAGTTAATTTACTCATATGGCTATGAATTGTCTGCTATGGTAAAAAAGGCTGAGTAAGATGCAGTCCTCCCCTCCAATCTTAGTTATGTGACCTTGAGTAGGTCACTTAACTTCTCTGACCCTTTCCTCATTTGCCAAAAGGGAATAACACAACACACACCTCACAGCTTTGTCATAGGATTAAATGAGTTACTATGTGAAAACAGTGTTTAGCCCATTATGATGATTCTAGTCTGGAGGTGAGGTAAGCATCTAAGCAAAGAACTAGAATGTAGTGCACTAAAATCAATAACAGGCTCTTAACTCAGTCTGCCAACAACTGCCACGATAAAGGAAATCTAAAATTTTCTTATGCCTATATGCCCTTATGCCACTCCCACAGTAGTAAGAATGACGAGTTTTCTGTTGGTTTGATAACTGGAACTTGAAACTTAAAAAAAAGTAGGAGAAGGGATCAGTCGCATATAGTGTTTCTTAAAGGAGGTCAGTGGACTTATGGGGAAGGTAAGAGTTCTTCCCAGCCTCCTTCCAATTTAAGAAACAGCGGGCTAGACCCCCCCCCCCCGAGAGTAAGGGCAGCACAGAATTCCCTGAATGAAGCAACCAAAGAACTCAGAGTACAAGTGTGTGTTTCATGGAAGTGTTGTCACAAACTAAAGATCGGAAAGGACATTAAAGGGTGAACCTGGAGGCCATGAAAGGACCCACCAGGTGAGATGCTGGACGTTACTGCTGCATAAAGAACTGCAAGAGGCAAGGCGTGGAGGCATGAAAAGGGCACGTGGGTAGCTTGAAAGAATCATAAAGCAGCTTTTGGGGAGGTGGCTCTTGATCAGATACAGATTAAGAGTGCGACCTGGGGCCTGCCAGGTGAGGCAAGAAGCTCCCCACCTCCATACCTGGATCATGAGCTCTCTGCCACAGTGTCCCCTCAAGATCCCACTCTAAGGGTTCTGGGTTAGTGGGCTCCCTACTTACTCCCGCCACGCTTACCTCGTCTTCCAGCCTTTCCCTCAAAGTCCCGCCTCCTCCGCCCTGCCGGAAGTGACGCACAACTAGTGCGTCGTACCGCGCCAGAAAGGTTCTGCAGGAGCGGGAGAAAGGATTCCGGCGAGACTTACTGCGCCGGCGTAGCGGCGCGGGCCGTCCAAGCGCCTTCCGGAGACCGCCGAACTGCGCTCATTTTCCAGTGTGTACCTTTCGAAGTACCCTGAGCGAGGCTCGGGGAGGCCGCCGCCCCTGGAGGGTATTTCTACAGCTCTGGTACCTCCCGGTGGTCTGCTGCTCTGTTCCTTGCCCTTTGACCTCACTCTCGCGGCGGGGTGAGAGGTCGGTGGCCATCTTGTGGCGGCGGCGCGGGCGGCTGTTACTGCGGAGACCCATCCCCTCCCCCCTTGTCCCCCCTCCCGACGGTCTGACAGTCAGTAAGGAGTCCCTCGGGCCGTCTACTGAGGCCTCGGCCTCGTGCCGTCGCTCTTCCCGCCGCACTGGGTGGCTCAGGCCGTTCCCTGCAGGGCCTTGCCGCCGCCACCATGTCCTCCTTCTCCGAGTCGGCGCTGGAAAAGAAGCTCTCGGAGCTGAGCAACTCTCAACAGAGCGTGCAGACCCTGTCCCTGTGGCTCATCCACCACCGCAAGCACGCGGGACCCATCGTCTCCGTGTGGCACCGTGAACTTCGCAAAGGTAAACAACCCCCCATCCCACCCACTTGGGCGGTCCTGGGAGTTCTGCTCTCCCCCACCCACACTCAAGTCCCCTCTAGCGTCTTGAGCGAACCCTGCTTTCCAGATCCGGGCCCCTGATTGCGTTTGTGAGGTTGGAAACAGTGTTTTCCCACTTCTTGGAGAAGGCAACTGAAGCCAGGAAAGCTTTGAGATACTTCTTGCCTGCGGTTGCTCAGGTCAGGGCTGGGGTGCACAGACTGCCAGTTCACCCAGCCATTTTGCCCCGGACTCTTGCTGACGCCTGTGGCCACTATCATCTCGGTGTAGCGTTCAGCGCCTTGTGGCCCTAACTTGTTGTGTGTCCAGGGCATTTGGAATACGAGCCAGTGAGGATAGGGACCCGGCTCAGCCAGTTATCACCTGAGTGATAAGTGGGCAAGTTTCTTCATCCTTTCTGCCTCTCTTTTCTGATGTGTTCAATGAGGATAATGATTTTTGCCACTTACAGGACCTGTATTCGGGGTCATTGTCTATGCCAAGACCTTTACACGCAGGCACTTGTCAGGACAACCCTTGCAATGAGTAGTTAGTTTCTAAATTTTAGAGAGATAAAGGCCCCACACCTGTACATTGGTTTTCAGGCTCCTCTTAGGCAACTTTCATTGATTCTAGACCCTGCTTAGAAAATGGCATTCATTGAGCTCATCCCGCTGGATGTGCCAGGCCCTGGCACTGAATTGGGAGTTTCTTAGCACCTTGACTTCAGAGATCAGCTGCCTGCAATATAAGACTGATTTTGCCATTTATTGACCCCAGCGTCTTATTCCACTTCACTGGCTGTCCCTCTGTTATCTGTAGCAGAGAAATGATGATACTTGGTATTTACTGTGCCTTTATCATGTGCCAGGTACAGTACTGATACCTTTATTTATGTTGTCATTTTTCAAATTCTCAGAGCCCTTGGTGTAGGAACTTTGTAGTTGAGTCCAGACTGGCTCAAACAGGTTGTAGTGACGCGTCAACAGGGTAATCCACATGGTGTCGGGCACAGTGTAGACATTCAATAAGTCAAGGGGTGAGCACTGATGATACAGTGTCACGCATGGTGTTTGCTTCAAGTTGCTTAACTGTCTGATGGGGGAGTGTGGGCACCTGTACATGTCTGATACCCGGGGAGTTCCATAGTCGCGTGCAAGGAGATGGAGCTTAGAGCTGTTTAGGACATCCTGTATGTGGCCTTTTATGTAGTGCTGCGAAGACCTTTTCTCTACTGTGCCCTGGGGATGTCAGTTTTAGGAATAAAGGTGTCTACTCCTTATTTTAAGGAATAAGGAGTAACATGAGGAAACTGAAGTGGTTAAGTGGAATTTTCAGGCCTTATAACTGGTGATCCTCAGACTACATTGGTCTAGCAGATGCCAACATGCAGTCTGCTTTTAGGAGACCTAGTTCTGACCCGCTAAAGATACAGATAAAGACACAGATTAAAGTGCTTTGTTCAGGATTATTAAACTGAGACATGAACCCAGAGCGCTCTGATGCTGCCGGAACTTGCGCTTTCCAGTACCCTGTGCCTTAATGCACTCAGTACGGGAAGGTCTGACTCCAGCCAAACTTGGAGTAGTTTTTATTTATCAGAATGGTCACCGCCACCCATCCTGCCCCATATCATTGTAACATTTATTACTTTTTTACTAGTTACATCTTTTTTTTTTAAACTAGATTGTGTTTTGTGGAAGAAACTAGACCTTTTTCTTTGTAACACCTGCAGCATTTAGTGCAAGGCCTGTTACACAGTTAAAATTACTTTAGGAATTAAATTGTGGTCTGACATTTTCATGGTCCATGGAATGAGTCTGGTGTAACTTTCTGTGATGGTTGAAATGTTTTATATTGCCCCACAAGGTAAACCACTGCCATGAGCAGTTGAAATGTGTGACTAAGACACAAAAGTTTTAAGTAAATACAATCGAAAATTCAGTTCCGTGTTTTCCTAGCCACAATTTAAATTCACTAGCAACCATGTGTCTCCTTGTATAGTGTAGACCCAGAGGATACTTTTCCAAGCATCAAGATAATCTTCATGATACTCAGATTTCTTTCATGAATTGAAAATGCTCCCATGCTAACATGGAGAAAGATTTTGTGCTCTACTGTTAGTGTTGGCTAACCCTGTAGTTTCTAGACTGCCCAGAGTTTTAAAAAGTGACATTTGTATCTGAGGTTAAGTCATTTCCTTTATTTTAGATGTTTATAGATGTCTGAATTGCCTCCAAGATATTTATAAGACAGCAATCTATTATCACATAAATAGGCCCCTTTTTCAAAATACCTTTATAGATGTTAAAACCAGCCAGACAGGTGAATATTGTTCATTAGTTAGTTATTTAAACTTAACTCAATAACTATTTCAAGCAGTCTGGAGTTGGTATAAGTAGAGGGTGAAGGGATTTATTTTATCATAGTAGAAGGACATCTGAACAAATGAGTTGTCATCAAGGACGAGAGTGGAGGGCTTATGTACTGTATGCTGTGTGACTATGTTCGTGCGCTCTAGATCTTTGCCCATAGCACCTGTACGTGCATGGTGCTTATGTCCACTGTTCAGGATACTGGGTGTGGATGGATAAATTTTATCTTAAATAAATCCTCATTGCCAAGTTTGAGGATGATGTAAATTTATTGACTCATGGATAGTAAAACCATGGCTCTCTAACCTCTTACCTGTGGTGTTTGTAATACTGAAAAATGTACCATGTTTTACATCACTGTCAACATTGATTTTTTTACAAAATGGATTCTGCATTTTTAAAACAAAGTATATAGAAGTTGTAAAACTTAAATTGATCAAATTTGTTTTATTTTTGAGTGTACTAACTTTCTTGGCATTATAGATTTGGTAATTTTCCTTATCATGAAATCTCAGAACAAGGTTTGCTTATTAAAAAAACACCTTTTGCTAAAATGATAACCTTGTAGCAAGAACATGGGATACTGTAACTATTAACACTTATTCTGCTTTTGAATAATAGTACAGATAAAGATAGCTTCATGTTTTCAATATTCTTATCAGTTGGCCATTTAAACTAGGTTATTAACAAAAAAATTTACAGTTCCAGATAGTCATAGTCATATTTAATTTTATGAGCATGTTTGAATCATTTTCAGCTATAATGTACTTTAACAATCTTGTTTTTTAACTTGGGTTATTCTCCTGTAGCTCATTTTAAAATGTCAGATCTTATGCCTGCTGTGTTAGAATTTATACATGCTGTGTGCATTTCAATAGAAACCAGTGGTTTCTGAGCCTAATAGAACAAAGACTGGTTATATTCAGGTAGGTTGACATAGGTCCTACTTGAATTTTCAGGTACCTTAGTACCTGAAAAAAATTGAGTGTTTTGAGCTATCTGATTGTGTTATTTATTTCCTTAAAGAAAGCTGGGACTGAAAATGCTAGTAACATTATGGTTTAGAAGTTATGTGCATGGAAGCCAGGAAATTCAGTAATGTTCCCCCAAGCAATTGTAACTCAGACATATTGCATGAGGTTTTTATATATGCCCATATAGAGTAATAGGAAATACTACATTTAGTATGTATAAGAGAGAAGATTTAGGGTTTTTGTGGGAGCCATAATTTTACATATCCAGATTTCAGACGTGTGTAAATTTTCAGTAATAAAGTGGCACTAATGTATACTTGTATTTGAGATAAATATCCATTGATGCATCTAGAGAATCCTCTGGATTGTAGAATTGGTGTCATTGATTAATTATGACTATTGAAAAGTTCAAAGAGAAATTTTCAGTCTGGGAAAATTTGCTTAGGGCAAAAGAATTATGGATTGAGAATTTCCTAGGTGTAAGTTAAATTGTTTTTTTCTTTTTTCCCAGCCAAATCAAATAGAAAGAATACATTTGAAGTTGAAATCTAACTCAAGTCTTTCTGCAGTATTTGATAATTAACAGAGAAATGTTCATCTTTGCAGTAGAATAAATGACAATTGTCGATTTAACATGTCTTTCTTGAGAATATTGACTTCATCCTTTAGGAATATTTGAATTGTCTTCATTTTTATTGTCAATTAATTACTCTAATTAAAATAACACAGAATTGAAGATGGCACATTCTTGTTTTTGTTTTTTCCCTCACCAAAGTTCTCAAACCTGCTTTGTTGGCAACCTCCAAAAGTTCTTTAGGTTGTTTGTTCAAACATATAGCAGTCTTGATCTCAAGTAGGTAATGCTTGTTGTAATGTTCTTTAGGAGTAGCTTAGGACAAAAGAATTACGGATTGAGAATTTCCTAGGTGTAAGTTAAATTGTTTTTTTCTTTTTTCCCAGCCAAATCAAATAGAAAGCTTACTTTTCTGTACTTAGCGAATGATGTCATCCAAAACAGTAAAAGGAAAGGACCTGAATTCACTAGAGAATTTGAATCTGTCCTTGTGGATGCTTTTTCTCATGTTGCCAGGTATGTTGTCTTTTTTTTTTTTCCATTTTATTTTGTTTTTAAATGCATTGCTTTTTCTTCCTTTTTGTTCTTTTGCCTTTTCTGTGATAGCTTTTGCAAATTGACTTGTATTTTTCAGAGGTGTGTTTTACACTGTGTTACAGAGGCCAAATTATGGTTTTATGTATTGCTGGTCCTTAAGAACCATTTCAGACATGTAAATCTTTTGCTAACTTAAAGGGATTCCATTTAGTATTTCAAAAACATTTTCCCCCCTCATTTATTGACTCCATTTCTTTAATACGGTATTTTTATTGACTTGACTGAGTTGTCTTATTAGCTTATGATAAAAATCAAAGGTAATAATGCAAGGGAACCTTCCAGTGACAAAGCCTTAACAGCAAGAAATTAGTTGCTTTGGCTTCGTTTTTACTTCTTTCTGGATGTCTAGATATCTAATTTACTAAAAACAGTAGTCATTGTAGCTGCAAAGTTAGTAATTAGTAGTGTGGAAAGTATATATTAAGTCCAGATCTGTCACCATTGTTTTTGTGACAGATAACTGGAGCATAGAGTACGCTTGCAGCTCATACAAAAAGCATACATTTGATTAAAAGTTTACTAGATCATTTTTATTCAGTTAAAAAATTGCTTTCTTGTAGATACAAGTTAGTTGCCCAAGAGGAGCAAAGAAAAACTATTTTTCATCAGAATATTACTAAGTAAACATATAAAAGTAAAAATCCTTGCAAAAGGATAATGAGAAAGGGGATAAGGATTCTGGCAGGTTAAACACAAAGTTGTTTAGGATGGAAAGTATGTGTCAGGATCTCAGTATGAAAGTAAGTCCAGATTCCATGAAAGATGGGAAAAGGTCGAAGGAATAAAATGAGAAATTAAAAAAAAGGGATATCTAGTTTTCTAAAGATGGAATAACTAGAGATGGAAATAGTATGTTTTTGATGAACATGGACACTGACGAATCTGAATGTTACTGCTTAGAAAAATACTGTTCTTGTAATGGTAAGCTTAGAACAGATTTCTAGAGAGCTAACTGAAACTACAAAGTGGCATTTTCTCTTCTTGAGATTTAGTTCCGTTCTTAAACTTTGGATCCTGTTTGGATATTTTATACAGCATCCCCAAGTATCTAAGCTCCCCCCACTGTTATTAAAACAGAAGATTAGCCACTTTCAGTCCTGACTTACCTCTTCGATGTTTAAAAAATTCTCTCCTCATGGTTTTTCTATAGCCAGTTGATGTACAAAGACAATTGACCCATATTGACTAGGAAAATCTTTATGATAATTTCCTACATGTTCAAATCTCCCCCCCCCCCAAAACACACCAAACTAACCCAGTTCTCTTGATCAGAAAGCTGCTGAGATCATAAATTAAATTTACTTTGAATAGCAGTTTAATTAACCAGACTTTGGCCCTCCCTGGTGGTGCGATGGGTTAAAGCCAGCACTGCAAGTGATCCACAATTGCTTCAGTGTGAGCTCGATCCCAGACCAGGAGATGATCCACATGGCGTGGCTCTCCTGATCTGCCTGCTGTTTTCCACGCTGTTGCTGGCAAGTCCTCTCACGGCACCTGCACCTCTGGCCTGCACCCCAGTTCTGTATGCATAAATAAGTAAATCTTAAAAAAAAATTAACCAGATTTTGAACATATTTCCACGCCAAAACCTTATTTTCTTTTCACTTTGGACATAGTTGTGCATTTTAGTTATCATTCAAAATATAGTTGAGTGACTTTAATGAGCCATGTGCTGGTCTAGAAAGTAGAGAGGCATCAGTGAACAAGGCAAGTGAGGACAAATAAATGAACAAGATATTTTCAGAGTGATAATGTGAATGTTATTCTGGAATGGGATCTCTCATAGACTGGTAAGGGAATCCTAAGGAATAACATTTGAGGTTTCATGCAAAGTAGGAACAACTATTAAGAAGAACCTAAAGTTGAAATAATCTTGGCATGTTAGGATTGGAATGAATGTCAGCATGGTTTGAACACAGTGAGCAGGGTAAAAAAGTAGCATCCAGATGAAATCAAGAGAGTTGATATTACCAGTCCTGTATGTCCTGTAAGCCTTGGAAGAGTTCAGATTTTGTTCTGATAGGATGTCTGTGAAGAGTTGTAAGGGGGGAATGATATGTTCCAAATAGTTTTCAAAAAATCATTCTGGCTTGGTATGGAGAATAAATTACAAAGATCAAGATAAGTGAGGGATATGAATTTGGAGGGTATTTCCGTAGTAGAAGCTAGAGATGGCATTGTCTTAGAGTCACAAGCAGTGAGAAGATAATAGCTTACTTTGAATGCTTGATTTGTGGTTGTATTTGTTGCAACACAATCCTCACCCATCTCTCCTCCCAACCCCCACTGTTAGGATTTGTAGGAGTTGAATAGGAACTAGTAGAGAGGAAAAGAGGAATCAAAGATGATTTCTTGGCTTATGACACAAGTGGACGGGTATCATTTACTGAGATGAAGCTTAGAAAGTTTTGGTCATGTCAAATTGAGATGGCTTGTAGGTATTCCATGTGGCAGTGCCAGATAAGGCAGATAGAGGAAATAGTCTGAAGTTCAGCAGGGAATAAATTTCTGTAGACCAATTATCAACATGTACATATTTATTGTGTTGTGAATTCCCCAAGACTCCTTACTCCCAGGTTTGGTGACTTGCTAGGAGGACTCAGACAACTCAGCAAAAACTCCTACTCAGGGCTATGCTTTATTACAGTGAAAGGATAAAAGCAGACTCTACAAAGGGAAAAGACTGTGGGGCTAAGTCCAGAGGAGACCAGACATAAGCTTCTAGGAGTCTCCTCACTGAGGAAGCATTGGTGGTTCTGTGTTAGAATTCTCACCTCCCAAGCATCTTCTCACAATGGGATTGCACAAAGGGAATTGTGATAGTGCATGCCAAGTGTTCTCTACCCAGCAATCTCATTAGACATTCAGTGCCCAACATTTTATTGGGGTTGGTCACATAGATACCCTCTGCCATAAATTGCAGACACCTAGAAATAAAACAGGTGTTCACCATAGCCATGTTGTTTGGATAGTTAGGAAGCGCCCTTAATGGTTGGGAAAGGCCAGGAACGCTCAAATCCAGGCTCCCGGATGCCGGCTTTGTGCCATCCTTGCAAGCAGACCTTTTTGAGGGCAGCAGCCGCAGGTTTGCTGTGTTAACACTTTCTTGTTTTAGATTAATTGTGCAGTGATTGATTTTATAATTAATCAGAATTAAAAGACATTAAGTTTTGTTGAGCATAGTAAGTTATGTATGTTATTATCATTTTCCATTTTATTCATTGATCAGTGGCAGAGTTATTTTTGGGTATTTTTCACATAATGATCTCTCAATTTAGAGCTCAATTAGTACAACCTAAAATGATAGTTTTATAATAGTTTTCTTCTATTATAAAACTACTTTATTATTTTAGTTATAGCCAATACAAGTGCTACAGAAATTTCCAGTTAGTTGGAGGTATTTATGGCAAACCTCATCAATAAAAAGATTTCTTGACTGTTCTGTAACTTTGAACTTACTGTCAAAACCTTGATTCACTATAGTGTTCAAGGAAGGCCTGTCCTGGTTATTATAGTCACCAATTAAACTGGAGCTTCTTTGTGACTGTAGCCGTTAGTGTTGAAAACCTTTTGAAAATGTCTTTTGCTTATAATAGTTTGAGTGACAATTCCCATTTTATAGTAATGTGGCTGAAGGTATACTCAAAATCAATCTTACTCTGGAATTACAAATACCCATGGAAGTTGTGGGTAGGTGAGGGGGTAACTCCCTGGTGGTGCATTCAGTTAAAGCGCAGTGCTGTGAAGCTAGTAGCAGCAATCACTTCAGCATGAGTTTGATCCGGGCCCCAGAAGTGACCCCCATGGCACAGCAGACCTCTCCTGACCCGCCCGCTGCGCCCCTCAGCAGTATACTTTGTCAGTCTGCCTGTTCTGCTCCCCACTCTGTCTCTGGTGAGACCTCTCACCACCCCTGCTCTTCTGGCATGTACCCCAGTTCTATATGCATAAATAAATAAATCTTGTCATGATTTGTTTCATTTTTTTTAAGTGAACAGAGAATTTGTAGAGAACAGATTTTAAGTTAAAAAGTACCAACCAGCTGACTAAATTTGATTAGTTGTCATTTGGTTGTACTAGTTACATAATGACTTCATTTTCTGAAACCATAAATTGAACATAGTAAGGATTTTCCATACCTTTGAAGATAAATTCTGCATGTCTAATGTGTATTTAGGGCCCTCTGTAATCTAACTTCACTCTATCCAGATTTTTCTCCTGTTTCCACACACTCCCCATATACTTAAGTCACCTGAATTACCCACAGTTCTTCTTCCTCACCTTGTTCTATTTTGGGGGTTCCATTCAAAGAAGAAGCTACATAGCAAAGGTATAGACACAGAGGGAGCAAGTTCTGGGTAGGAAATTCATATGGTTTAGTTCTGCAATGTGAAGCACCAGGTAATGTATGGAAAGGACTACTGAGTCAAACTCTAGAGGTCAGAACGCAGCCTTATTTGTATTCTAAGAACAGTATCCCTAAGCCTATTGAATGAGTGAGTGCTTTAATTAATGTCTGACATGAAAGACCGTGAGGTAGTGAGATGGTTGTTGAAAGTTCCTAGATACATGGCCTGCTGAAACTTACTTAAAATTTTTATGAGAGACTGCAATTAGGTATTTATTGGACTTGTTGTAGCCATAGGGGAGAAGGATGCAGTTCCCTCCCCCTGGGGAAATTAAAGTGGAAAGATAGTGCAACAACATGCAAGTTCCATAGCTTATCAGAAGATAAATTGCATGGAAAAAGATTAAGTAGGGGTCAAGGATGTAATTTGAAAATAGGAAAGATTGGGAAGGGCGCACAGAGGACACACCTCAAGGAGAAGGGTGAATGAGCCAGGCTGCCACCTGAAGGCATGTGGTTCCAGGCAAAGTGCGGGCCTCCATGGCTTTGGGGGAGGAAGGGAGAAGATGAGGTCAGAAATAATGGGCTGGGCTGAGAAAGACTTGGTAGGCGTCTATTTTGAGGGAGAACAGGAAGAACCATTGGAAGTTCTGAGGGAAGGAGTATCATGACTTGCCATTACACACAGCTCGCAATGTCTTTTTTAAACTAGAGGAGAGACAGTAGGACAAGATGGAAACAGGAAACCCAGGAGCCAGGGTTGTGATCAGGCAAGAGAAGTTAGTGGCTAAAACCAAACTGATAGCAGAGGAAGAGAGAAGTCATTTTCTTCTGGATATAGTTCAAAGGATAATAAATGTGTTTTTACCACAGATACCAAATAATGTTTGTTTTATAAGCTTTTGGTGGAATTTTTTGCCTAGTCCTCACCTTTGACTGAAAAGAAAATGATTAAAAAACATTATTATTTGTATGTGCTTTGACATCCCTCCCCCTATTTGGTGAACTGTGCTACTAGTAATGAGTATTATCGGTAATACTTAATAGCCAAAAGTCACTCACTTTGTTAACGTAAGTTTTAGAATAGTGCTGTCAGGGCTTTTGGGGGATAAAATCTCCCTGTCAGTAAAACTGGTGTGATTTTTTTTCTTGGGGTTCCTGTTAAAGGTGCTGATTATGTTACTAAGAAGTCAAGGTATCCTCTTGTTAAAGTCACTCGTTGTCAGATCATTGACATCTAGATAAACTTTGAAAAACAGAACAATTCATAGTAATACAGTGGATGGTGAGGAAGTTTTATTTTCTTTTTCAGAAAGTCTTCCCCCCATCCTACCACCATGCTCTAATATTTTTGGTAAGCAGTTGGCTCATACTGAATACTAGTTATATCATTAAAAAGGATTCTATTTCTAGTGTTGTATGTCAGGAGGGAAAAACAATCTAGTTTCTTCAGCTATAAACTACAAAGGACTTTGTTTTACTCACTGTGTTAGACACCTTTGTGTGAACATGGAACACAGAGGTAGCCCAGAATTAAAATTATCATGAAGAAATTAATTTAAAGTTGAGGTCACTCCTGGTATATGTGTGTATGAGTATGTTTATATATATCAGAGGTGTTGGTGTCTGAGCATTAAGTTGCAGTAAATTTATTCCCCACCTTAAATGTTTTTAAGCATTTCTTCTATTCTTAAAAGTTTTGGCCTGCCTTAATTTTCAGCAGAATGTTTGGCACTAGATTTCAATTAAAGTCTTCTTAAAAAGCAAGCTGTCCCAATTAATAATGGTCAATTTTTTAAATGATTCTTTGTCTATAAATATCAGCCATTGGCTTTTTTTGCCATATTTGTTCCATCTTTCAAAGGTATATTAAAAGACACAGCTTACTTCTGTAACATAATCCCTTTCTCTCCCCTATGTACCACAGAAGAAAGTAATTTCTGGTCAGGTTTTGGGTATTCATTTATCACAATTTGTGCCTTATTCTTCTGTTTTTAAATATGTAAATCTTTTAGTCAGTTTTTTTTTTTTTAAGTAGCTCTGTCCTAATTAAAAACAAACAAACAAAAAATCTTAAGCTTATATATATCTTTTCATCTTTTCTGGGCAGAGAGGCAGATGAAGGCTGTAAAAAACCTTTAGAAAGATTGCTGAACATCTGGCAAGAAAGAAGTGTGTATGGCGGCGAGTTCATACAGCAGCTGAAGCTGTCTATGGAGGACTCCAAGAGCCCTCCCCCCAAAGGTAGAAACATCACCACATGTTTACAGCTCTTGGTCTTTGCCTACTTTCGAATCAAATATGAAAAGCTGCAGTGGGGGTTGCTGTGAACCACCAGCGATTATATGATTCTTCAGAGAGAGATGATCATAAATGATGGTGAGAATTTATGTAGTGCTCACAGCGTGTAAGCCTGGTTCTAGTATCCATGCTGTTCATCATCTCACACCCCCTTTGACTCTGTATTCTCTCTGACCCTCTTCCGCCTTTCAGGGACTCTCCTTGAACAAAGGAAAAGTAAAATAAAGTTGTTTAGAGTTGTGGGGAACTAGGAGATACCCTGCACTAAGATTTTTGTCCTAACCCTGCCACTAAACAAGTACAGGAACTTGGAGAAACCCCTTGGTTCCATGAAACATTGATGTGGATTTGGAATATACTTTTGATAATATGGTTGTCAGCTTGCTGTCTAAAATTGATGTTGGTCTTCAGCCTAGGAAATGTGTGCATGTGTTTGTGTGAATTTTGCCAAGACCCTCTTAAGAACGAGTGTTATTTTTTATTTCTTTTAAAGAGGAGTAAGATCAAATGTTGGTTCTTTGGCTTCTGGTTACTTGCAGCTTAATTCTTGTTGGCACGGCTTGTTTCTGAACTATAGATCTGATCTGATGGCACAGAGCATCCAGTCGAAGTACTAACACAGGATTCAGGATGCTAAATGGTCTGTACTCGTGTACTTTTCACTGTCTTCTTCCATCCCCACGCCATCCTCTCTGGCCAGACTGAATTGCCAGTGGCCAACCTGTGGGTGCTGCACTGGCACCCCTTCCTTTGCATCTGCCACTACGTCTGCCTGAAAGGTCCTTTTGCTTCTTTCACTGCATGCCAAATCATTCTTCAAGCTTTCTGCTCTCATTCTGACGTCTTGCTGAGCTTGTCGAGGCTCATGCAGCCATTGCCTCCATGTTCCTCTGGTACTTTGTACTTTCCTCTGCTTACACGTGTGATCACGAATGACTAAGAGTGATGTAAGTGCCTTCAGATTTCAGGTCATTGTGGTTGAGTTGACAGAAAATAATTTCAGGGTCACCTGGTGGTAGCTCCTGAAAAGCAAGATGTTTCCTACTTTGGATTCTTGTAGTGTCTGTATTGTATCTTTTGGAGGTATTCTGCACAGGGTTGGGGGATTATCCGGCATTCTTTAACTCTGCCTTAGAGTTCATTTATAAACGGTGCTGATTTTTTAGAAATACCTCTGGGCAAGTGGGAGAACTCTGAAAGATGATGTTTTAAAGCTAAGTGTTGAATTTCAATTCAGCAGGCATTTGCTGGACACGGGCTTTAAGTCAACAGTCATGCTAGATGCTGCAGGGAAAGAGTAAGAGCGGAGTGAGAAATAGTTGTGCACTCAGGGAACATTCAAACACTTCGGGGATTTGTGGCAGCGGTACATGTGGAAATACCACCATTCGGCTTCTGGTATTTTTGAGCTTCTAGATCGTAGCAGCAACAGTCTCTGGTCTGTACACAGGATAATGCTGATCTGAAGATCATTTCTCTTTCTCTCTTCTGTAAAGATGAAAACATGTACAGAAGGTTCTGTTGTTTTTATTAGTCCCGGTTAACTGTCTTCTCACTGTATTCTCCAAACTTGAGTTATGAGAATATTTTACCACAATCCCTTCAAAATATCGGTGAGTTCCCCAGAAGTTTATTTCCAAATTTAAATAGCCCCTTTATATTCAGCTTTGATTCATGGATAATTCTTTGTCTTCAGACAACTTCAGCACTTATCTTGAAAATGAAAATTTTCATGGTTTCACTTACAGGAGGATATAGGGGAACCAAATAAGGGATCAGGGGGGAAAAAAAAACAATAAATAAAAGGCCAGAATTAACAGGCACCTATAAATGAGAGACATTCTGCAGGGGAAGGGGAGGGACAGGGCTCAGAATGGGAGGAAGAGCACAAGGGCCTGGTGCTGCACACTCATGGACTGGTGGTGGGAATTTTATGGAGACTACACCTGAGAGGAGATAGCAAACATTGTTCGAAAGTAAACAGTGATCTAAAATGTATATAAATAAAAGACTTATAAAAAAGGTAAAAATAAAAATTTTACTGTGGAACTTTGACAGTTCTAGTATTGGAGAATGCATGAACCTGGGGAATTTTGTTTTGGAATTAGGTATATCTTGAGTTTATATACCTGTCTTCCAGGCACAAGACCCCAGTGTTCTGAAGTTGTCTGTTTTTAGGAATTTTCAAGCTGTTTGACTGAATGAAACTTCATTGTTTACTCCAATCACACATGGCTCACATAGTGTCTTACTGTAGGACTTAGGTAGGAATCAAACAAGGGAAATAACCTTTATTGAACACCTTTAGGCACCAGCTTCTCTACTGGCTCATTTTCATGTTAATTTATTTTAGATCCTTCCAGTTACTCTCTGACTATGGTATTTTCATACTTCAGGTAAAGATACTTAGACTTAAAAGGGTATAATAGTAACTTTTTCCCAGTAGATATGATTAATAAATGGAAAATTCAAAGCCAGCTCTGAAGGACTTTAAAGTCTTATGTTCATCACACCATACTGTTCCTGAAAGCATGTGGATTCAGTAGACTTGAATTAGGGTGTGAATGAATAAGTATGTCTCCCAACTTTCTGGGCTCTAGTATATTAATTTAGCTATTCAGAGCAAGGGTTTAAAATCAGACTACGAATCCCAATTCTGTTAATTCCACGCAATGTGGAATTAACACTTGGCACTGCATTCTTTGAGGTTCCAGGTGCTCACTGTGTGATAAGGCCGTTACTCAGATTACTATCTTGTTGAGTCGTCGTGAAAATAACTTATGCTAAGTAAAATGTTAGCGACAATATATTCTAATGTCTAATATCCTGAATTCATGAAGTAGTAGCAAAAGAAGATTTGTTTAGTATATTTTGTCCCCTACAATTTGTGCAAGATTAGAGAGCATAGTGGCTAAGTGCATAGACTCTAGGTCCAGCTTCTCCAGGTTTCAGGCCTGAACCTGGCCACTCATCTCAGTGGACGAACTTTCAGAAATGGACCTCAAGTGCTGACCTTTCTTTGTTGTGGATCTTTATCTAGTCACAAGTAAAGTTAAATGCACTTTAAAGTTTTTACCCCTTATTTTGTAGGACTGGGAAAAAAAGAATGAGGGAGTAGTTGTAATAGTATTTTCTGATTCTCTTCTCAATTTAAAAATAACATAAAAATGTCAACTATACCACAAATTAAATAATATTAAAATACTATAAAATTTGTGGGATTTAAAAAAAATCTCAGCCATTATTATAATGGAGCGAGGTAACTCTGGAAAGGAGGAACACTGGGAGGGCCTGGGGAATAATTCACTTCCATATGTCCTCCAAATGGAGAAAGACAAGAACTGGAAGAACAGGAAGACATGGCTACCACCCGTTATACCCTGCTTCATCAGGATGGCTAAGGACAGAAATGACCCCAAAATTATTTTTAGCAGTTTGCTGTCAGTCTTGTAATGACAGGAATGAGTGGGAGCATAATGAGTGGGAACCTCGGACAAGAAGGCAGGTGACTTTGATGGTGGGGCCCAGAAGAGCTTTAGCTGCACAGGTGGTAACTATTTTGTGACGTGATTTGTGATATGGTTTGGGAGCCTCAGGCTTGACTTTTGCCTTAAAATTAGCTTTAACCCGCTGCGCCACCAGGGAGGGCCACGTAAAGCACAGCACAAAGAAGCTTGAACCACTTCTTCATGAGTTCGATCCCCGCCTGCCCCGGAGGAGCTCCACATGGCGTGGCAGACCTCTCCTGACCCGCCCGTGCTCCCCTCAGCAGTGTACTTCGTTGATCTGCCTGTTGTGTACCCCGCTCTGTCTCTGGTGAATCCTCTCACCCTCCGCATCTCTGGCCTGTACCCCAGTTCTGTATACGAATAAATAAATCTTTAAAAAAAAAAATTAGCTTTACATTCTGCCATCGTGTGAAGTTCTATCACACATCTTTAAAGTTTACTGTAAATTCTAATCAGAGTTAGTTCAATGTCAGCTGAGTACAATGGCCTTCTGGAGACACAGGGACAAGAAGGGGGTAGAATAGAGGGTCTACAATAGGAGGGCAGAACAGTTTTGGCCACCTGTAGATTTTGCTATACCTGTAAACAGAGTACTTGAGTAAAAAAGGGAATGTCAGTACTGTGACTAGAAGCCAAATTGATAGTGAAAGGGTGGCTTATCTTAAATTCAGATATAGGACTGGGGCTGACAGGTTTTCTAGGTTATTTTAATGACTGTCTGACTGATTGAAGATACTGGATAGCATAACTGCTAGCTTGTACAGATGAGTCAGGGTCAGGTTCCTGGGTGGGCTGTCCTGTTTGTATAAAGGAAAGCAGTGATGGTCTTTTCAAGTTCTGTGCCTGCTCTGCCTTTGTGAGGCTTCAAACTTAGGTCTGCTGACACTTCCCTAGGGTCTAAGAACTTAATGCTCCTTTAGAGAGAAGGCCTGTGCCTGCCAATATCCATGCAAAGGAGCAAGTTGCTTGCTTTCCAAGAGAGGCCTAAGAGCTGTGGGAATTAGATGGAGATGGTGACGATCGAGCGAGTATTCAAGATGGACCACAAATAGGCTCTGAACTCGAGGACACTCTTCCAGTGAGGGCTCAGCTTTAGGAAGATTACGAAGAGGTAGTCTCTTGGAAAAGGAGCAGCAGCTAAAGGCAGGGTGGCTGCTTGGCACAGTGTCTGGACAAGGCACAAGGAAAGGTAGATTGCTGGTTAGGGGCTACGGCAGGGAGCACAAAGGAGGAGATATGTGAGACATCTTTTGCACTGTGTAGTCTGCTGGAATGTGGGGATTTGGAAGAGATTCTAGCGGTCTTTAAGGCTTTGCACTTGGAAGATGGAGCCAGTGGAAGTGATGGAATTAGGTAGCTCAGGAAGGGAGTTGCTGTAGGGCAGGGATGTTGAATAATGCATCAGATGGAGAGGCCTGGAGAGGAGGATGACATGGCTACCTCCTGTTACACCCTCTGCCATCACCACAGCAAAGGACATACCCAGCCCAAATAATTTTTATCAGTTTGATTTCAGTCAGGTACTGTCATGAAAGAGTGGCAGTATAAAGTGGCAAAAAGAAAACCAAATTAGATGCAGATGACTGTGAGTGGGACCCTGACTCGAGTAACACACTGCTTTTGGACAGGCTTATGAAACTGAACTAGGAGAAGCATTCCAGTGCAAAAATGCAAGAATTCTGAGTGCCTGAAGTGATGTGTAGTTTTTGTATGTAATGCTTTCGCAGAGAGTTTGGAAACTAAAGGGTGCAGGTTTGTGTTTTTTTTTTTTTTTTTAAAGATTTATTTATTTGTGCATACAGAACTGGGGTACAGGCCAGAGGCTCAGGGGCGGTGAGAGGCTTCACCAGAGACAGAGTGGGGAGCAGAACAGGCAGATCGACGAAGTACACTGCTGAGGGGAGCAGCGGGCGGGTCAGGAGAGGTCTGGCTCGCCATGTGGTCTCCTCCGGGGCAGGAGGCAGGCGGGAATCGAACTCATGCGGAAGTGGCTTCAGATTCTCAGTGCTGTGCTTTAACCCGCTGCGCCACCAGGGAGGGCCAGGTTTGTGTTTTTAACATTTATTTATTTGGACACAAAACAATATAACCTTTTTTTGCATTTGGGACTGTTTTCTAGGGACTACTTTGTTCCTGTAGTGGCTGAAGGTCTGTATGTATTATACAACACATTAGGTGCTTTATGTGGTAATGCAGGGTGGGTAAAAATGGTCATTCGATTGACCCTACACAGCTAGTGATCTTATTTCAATAGGGAAAATTAGTTCTGTGACTTTAGAATTTTTTTGTCAAAGAATCAGATTCACTGTTGATTATGATGTGTATAGAGAGGGGGAAATACAGTAAATAATAATATGGCATGTTATAACAAAAAATTGGAAACATTAAGTGTTCTATGTTTTTGTAATTTACCAAGAGTGGTGTGAAAAACATGCCTCCGTTTAGAATTCCTGCTATGGAGTGAACATTGTTTTGGTGTAAGTGAATTGTCATGTTCTTCTCTCAGTCTAGATTGGCATCCATCATTTCGTCCTTTGTGCTTTCAGTGTTTCACAGTATCTCTGAGAGTTACTGTAATAGTTTTCTGTCAGCGTCTCTTCTTCCAGGATGTTGCCATCCTTTTCATCATAACCACTTTCTTCACTTCTGTTGATAAACTGGTCTTCACCAATCCCTCTGGCTGCAAATCTAGCGTCCCTAGAATGGTGACATGGCAGCATCCCACAAACAGCTGTCTCCTGCTGCACTGTTTATTCCATTCAGATTTCGCTTCCACCACTAGTTTTTGTTTTTTGTTTCTTTGCTGCTCTTTCATCTTTGTTGGTTAGTTCTGCTTTGAGTATTCATTTTTACAAAATATCATGTGGATTTTGTCACTGGGAGATAGGAAGACAGCACAGCTAAACACTTTGCTGTCTGTGAACTGAACAGTAGATGTTGGTGACCAGTAGATGTTGAAAAGAAGTGAAAGAAGTGATTTAATTGGTCAGTGATCATGATGCTTCTCTTTTATTTACATAATGATTTGTGGACTGAAGGTATAAGCAAAGTTTATTATTTGTGCAGTTGCTTAGTAATAAACTGTGGTTAACTGAAGCTTGATCATCTTGTTGGAGAACAAGTGTTTAACTAAGTCCGGGTAAAAATCTGGCATAATAGGATCATGCTAAGTTCAAACTGTTTGTTAAAATGTTTGTTTGTTTGTTTAAATTAGAACAGATGAAATATTAAGCAAAAATAAAGCCCATGATATTGACGAAGCTTTTATGTCAAACATAAGCTTGATCAGTTACTATGTAAGGTAAAGTATAGGAGCTACATTCTTTGTTCAGAAGAATATGTTTAAATGAGTTCATAGGCCAGTGCGTGGTGTCCTCCTCGTTGGGCAGGTGAAAGAGAAACTGTATGGGGCTAAGTAGTTTGAGTGCAGTGGAAAGAGCACACATTATGAAGTCACATCTTTACATGAGTCATCTAGCTTCCCTGGCTGTCTGCATTTCTTTACCTGGAAAATCTTAGAATTGCCAGAAGGACTAAATGTAAAGAAGCCAGTGCAGTGCCAGGCATGAGTTAGGTGTCCTGTAGTTTCTTTACATTCCGGACAAGACTTCATCATTTAAATCTGTGTCCCACAGTTGTTTGACATTATTTGTAATTTTAAAATGATAATTGAAGTAATTTTTCTCAGTAATGTTCAGTCATTTTATAGTAATAGTTATTTTGTATTTTAAGGTAAAGTTAGATTTGTTTTCTATTCAAAGAATTTTGGGGGCACTTTTGACATAATTTTATTGGGTTTTCTTTCTACCATTTATTTTCTGAAATTATTCTGGAAGGCAAAACTCTTTATGTGGAGTTTCTTCACAAATCTTCATTCACTTCGACTTGCTTCATTATCGTATCTGATAGTAAGTTTTAGTTAATGAAGTTTTAAATGTGTTAGTTTAGGGAGTTTCACTTTTAGCAGCTTGATTTTGGTAGTGTTTTTTTTTTCCAGTGTGAGTCAATTTCAGATGACAGACTAAATGACAGGCATTTTGACTTTTCACTAATACAGGGAACTACCCCAATTTAAAAAAAGTTGGCATGAAGATGACTGTGAAGCCATCTCTGGACATGCCACCCATCCGCCCCTCTTACATGTGGCCCATTGTACATAGCATGTAGCTCTTACCTTTGTAGTCTATGTGACCCAAATTTGTTGCTTTTGTTCTTTCTTCTTTTTTTTTTCCCTTTAGCAACAGAGGAGAAGAAATCACTGAAGAGAACTTTTCAGCAGATTCAAGAGGAGGAGGATGATGACTACCCTGGAAGCTACTCTCCCCAAGATCCTTCTGCAGGACCCCTCTTGGTAGGTCTTGACTGAGAGAGCAGGGTGAGAGTGCCCTGGTGAAATGACCTTGAGTTGAAGATTATGGCCACAAGGTGGCGCCGGCAACCAGTGGCATTGGCTCACTACAGGTTAGCTCTCAGGGCACCAGGTGCAAGAGCTACCCGTGAAGTGTGCCAGGTTACAGGCTTGATTTTATCTTTGCATGTTATGGATGGATTTATGTTTTATATAGTATTTGGATTTGGCTTTTTTCTACTCCTATAAATTGCAAGTATTGTTTAAAAGGTTTTTGATAAAGAGCAGATAATATTACAAAGACATTAAGGACCTCTACCGTGCCTTGACTCCAACTGCTTGGTTATTTTGTTGTAAGTAAACAACTCATTAGTTTGTGAGGACAATCTGTTCAGCTGTAGCAGATTCATACACTGTAAACTATCTAATTTTTGAAACAATCACCTGGCATTTACTGGATTTTTAATCAGATGTTTTGCATTTTTGTCCCTGCATATAAATTAGGTAACTTTGGTTAGCTTATTTTATTTATTTATTTACCAAAGAAATATGTGGCTCAAGGAGACAGAATGTCTTAATTTGAATATGGATCTAACTGCCATCAAAGACTAGGCTCATCTCAGTTATACTGCATCTTGTTTGCCCAGAATAGCTTTACTTCATTACACGTAGGTGTGTTTAAAACCTGTGAAATAAGAAGCATGTTTATGTTATGTTAAAATGTTCAGTTAGGCTAAGAATTAAATAAAAGCAGTGTCAGGTTATATATCTTCACATTTGAAAACTTCAGTGAGAACAGCCTGAATGATTAACTTTTGGGAACACCTGACTATCAGCTACACTTGGGCCATTATGGCCTGACTAATCTGTCAGTGGCTCATGCTTTCTGACATCTCAGAAACTATAGAGTATGCATTTTTGGTTTGTTTTTCTTGATTACCCCCCCTACTTGATTGTGATTAATGAGTTTGACACATTTAATTTGGGAGTGGTTGCCAAAATTGAAAGTATAATCTTTCTGACATTGATCTTGTAAAATAAACCCAAGAAAGAATTTTGAAGTAGGTGATACCATTTCATTTAATCAGTCTGTACATACTTGTTAAACATTTGATTTGTATGCTTTATTCTACAAAGGAGACTGTCCTTTACCAGAAATCATGCGTCATTTGAAACTAAGCAGTGTGAACCAAACTCCAGTTTAAGTTGGACACTTTCAAAACCAGTATTTTTAAAGAACTGTAGCATTTCATGCATATTTTGGGTGGACTGAGAAAAATTAACTTTGTATATTCTTTAGAACCCATACTATTGACTTCAGTGTAAGCTATGAGACCAGTTTTTTTTTTTTTTTGAGATTTATTTATTTATGCATACAGAACTGGAGTACAGGCCAGAGGTACAGGGATGGTGAGAGGATTTACCAGAGACAGAGTGGGGAGCAGGATAGTCCGACTGACGAAGTGCACTGTTGAGAGGTCTACTGCTCCATGTAGATCACCTCTGGGGCTGAGGATCGAACTCATGCTGAAGTGGCTTTAGCTTCTTAGTGCTGTGCTTTAACCTGCTGCGCCACCAGGGAGGGCCCCAGAAATTTTTTTTGAGATTTCTTTTTTATTTATTCATGCATACAAAAATTGGGGTGTAGACCAGAGGTGTGGGGCAGTGAGAGTATTCACCAGAGACAAACTAGGAACAGAACAGGCAGTTCTGCAGGGAGCCACAATGAGACAGGAGAGGTCTGCTGAGACATATGGGTCAGCTCCCTGGCTGGGCATAGAACTCATGTTTCAGTGGCAGCGATAGTTTCATAGTGCTGAGACTTAATCCCTTGTACCACCAGGGAGGCCCAAGAACAATTTTTTAAATGTCAGGAATGATAACTTTTAGAAGTTGCCTCCACCTTATTTATCTCAAACTAATTTTCTTTAACCTTCATACGTTTTAAGGATGGTGCTGTATGTGTTTTCATTGTACAGACTGAGGAACTAATCAAAGCTTTGCAAGACCTGGAAAATGCTGCATCAGGGGATGCTACTGTCCGACAGAAAATTGCTTCTTTGCCCCAGGAAGTACAAGATGTTTCTCTATTGGAAAAAATAACAGGTAGAGTTTGGGTGAAAGATGGGCAAAGAGGGTCATATGATTAATGCATCAAACCACAGGACAGCCTGTATCTGCAGATGTAGACTTGTGTGTACTGTTACAGCTCCACCATCTTGGGATACACAAACTTAATTCACATGCTGAATGGGAAAGCTGCTGTTAACAGTTCAGATTTGAATAGTCATTCTAGGAATTATTGAAGAAAGGTTGACTGTCACAACCTGTGGTCATCTAAGTAAGGTGATTTGAAAGCAAGATGCAAATTACATAGGAGGAATACCAAGGGGAGAAGGTATTAAATGTATGACCCTCTTATTAAAAAAAAGTTACATGTCAGTGCACTGTGATTTCCTCACTGCACTGACACACCCCATAGTTGACAGTGTTGTCAGTCGAGCCATTTTGCCTTCTTGATGATCGCTCCCAGTGCAGTGGGGGAGGGCTGGTTTATATTATTCCCACATTATGCTTGGGGGATTGCAGAAAAGACTGATGAGTGAACAGATTTGTACCGTGTGTGGTTTGTGCCAAATACTACGCCACGATAATCCTTGCGATGGCTGACTGCATCCCCGTATTGCAGTGGAGGCCATTGAGAGCTCAGGTGCAGCTCTCGAAGTCGTGCAAGTAGTGGAGCTTGGATTTCAGCTGGCTGCAAATCCTTGTTCTTTCCATAACAAGCAAGTCAGTTCTTTTGGTATACTCGCTTCTGGGGGCCATTGTTTCTCCCACTAGTCCCTTCCCTGGCTGCTTCACTAACTCCATATTCTTCTAAAGGAATTAAGGTTGCTCATGAGTATTTCCTTCATTTGACAAATATTTGAGGCCCTATGTAGCAGGTGTTCTTTGTGTCCCACCCATATCCCCTTGGTGCTTAAGTGCTAGAAAAAAAATAAAGCAGAGGTATGGGGGCAGGAGGGTAGTCAGGAAAGGCCTTTCTGACGAGGTAATTATTATCAGAGGTTTCCCCAAATTAGGAAACTACCCATGCGGGAGAGAAGTGCTACCGAGGCAGGGGTGTGCCTGTTTGGTGAGCACAAGGCGAGGTCTCCCGAATCGAGCAAGCTGCATTTCCCCTCCCTCCCTCACTTCCCAGGTCTGACAGCCACACACCTCTCACCGTCTGGTAGACATCCCACCTTTTCCTGCCTTCTCTCCCCATGCCCTCATTCTCTGCCTTCCTTGGCTTAGAGATTTGAGAATCACTCTCTCAGCCCCTCAATCCCTTTGATCCCACTGTTCTCTGGTTAAATCCAACTTTTAAAAAATTAGGAGACCCTCTCATTCTTGCTAACAGAATTATAACCTGCAAAAATTGGAAGCAAATTAATACAAAGCAGGCAGTGTAGATCTTTTTATATTTCATACAGCTTTTTAAAGCTAATTTTTATTATTTTTTTTTATTGTAAAATACACCCAGCAAAGTATACCATCTTAACCCCTCGGGAACACGCAGTTAAGCAGTATCAGACGCAGTCAGTTCCAGGTCTTGTCTCATCCTGCAGAACCAAAGCTCTGCAGCCACCCATAGCAGTGTGTCTCCCTCCCCCACAGCCCTGGCACCCTGCGTTCTTGAGTCGGTCTTTCCTCTTCCCTCACTGTAGCTGCTCAGAGGAGGCGCCTGTGGAAAACGAGCACACCTGGGTGCACACGGCCTCCTGTGTCTGTGGGGTTGTGCGGGCTTCCACTCCAGCCCTCTACATTGTTTAGACTTGGTCTTTCTCACTAGTCAAGAACTCTACTCCAACACTTTTTTCCTTCTCTGATGGATCCTTTTCAACAGCTTAGTAACAGGTATTTTTTTGCCCCACATGGAAATTTTATTTCTTGTCCCCCTAACTTCCTTTTAAACTGTTGCTTTATTTCTCAGTTTTTTTGAAATCATTTTTTTTAAAGATTATTTATTTATTTATTCATATAGAACTGGGGTACCGGCCAGGGATGCGGAGGGTGAGAGGCTTCACCAGGGACAGAGCCGGGAACAGAACAGGCAGATTGATGAAGTACACTGCTGAGGGGAGCAGCTGGTGGGCCAGGAGAGGTCTGCCACTCCATGTGGTCACCTCCGGGGCAGGCGGGGATCGAACTCATGTTGAAGTGACTTTAGCTTCTTAGTGCAGTGCTTTAACCTGCTGAGCCACCTGGGAGGGCCCTGAAATCATTTTTAAGAGTAGTATTTTATTTTTATTTTTTTGGACATGATGAAGATTTATTTTTGAGAGCTAGCAAAATGGAGAACATCCAGCTTCTGGTTTACTTTTTCCGCTACTTTATGTCTCCTTTTCCCTAGTATTCTATTCTTCATAACAAAACATTCTAAATGAAGTATTTAGTCTCATCTCTCTCCTTTTCCCCTTCTCCCACTCTCATTTCTGCTTTACTGAAACTGCTGTTTTTGTTATTATTGATGACTTTCATGTTGTTAGATTCATTGATTTGTTGTTGTTGTTGGCCTACTTTTAACTTGAGGTTATCTTAAATTTCTTCCTGGAAATACTTTTCTACTTGGTGTGGTGTATAGAATAATGACATCTCCACACCCCTAAAAGAAAATGCCCCAGCTCTAATCCCCAGAGCCTTGAATGTGCTGTTTTGCACAGTAGAAGGCACTTTGCAATCTTGAGATGGAGATGAGTATCCTGGAATTTTCAAAGGGAGGTAGGAGGGGAAAGTGAGAGAAAATAAGAAGCAAAAGTAGGAAGGTTACATTTTGAAGTTGGAAAAGGGGCTCTGATAATAAATACTAAGATAATTGTGTTGTTTTTAAGCCTCCAAATGTGCAGCGACTTGTTAGAGCAGCACCAGGAAATATGGCCCTGTATTATCCTAGCTTTTGGTTCAGTCTCCTTTGCTGGTTTCATCACTTCTCTCTTAACTCTTAATGTTGAATAGTTAACCCTCTTCTCTAGCTAGTTCCACAGACCTTTCTTAGCTGATTTGATACTTAGCAATTTTTATACTGAGGCATCCTTAGCTTACATCTCTAGTGTTGGCTTTTCCCTTAAACTTGAAACCCATATATGTAACTTCCTAGCCAGAGTTCCTAGTTGGATGTTTCCAAAGACATTTTAGACTCTCCCTGTCCTATCTCCTCATCTTTGCTCCAAAAATCATCTCTCTCATGTATTTCTCTATCTTATAAATGACCCCCTCATCAGTCCTTTCAGTACCAAACCCAGTATCTTGTCACAGACTTCTCTTGGGTGATTGCAGTAGACCCCTTCCTGGTCTCCTTGCTTCCTCCTGTCCCCAGCCCCATCCTGTTCCCAACATAGTAACCACAGCGAGCTGGTAAGAGTGGAGGTTGGATCATACCTCCCTGTGCTCAGGCATGCCCACTCACATGGCTGCCTTGCCTGACTCTCTTCCCTGCTGGGCCTTCGTGTTCACTGAGCCCTTTACGTGGTTGAACTGTAGCTGTATGTCTGTTGTTCTTGAGCTAGTTCTTCTAAAATATTTCAAAAAATATTCTGCTCCAGAGTGTTAACTGGCTTGTTCTCACTTCCTTCAGGCCTTGGTTTAGATTTCACTTTATTGATGCCTACCATGACTTTTTTTTAAAAAAAGATTTTATTTATTTATGCATACAAGAACTGGGATACAGGCCAGAGGTGTAGAAGGTGAGAGGGTTCTCCAGAAACAGAGTGGGGCGTAGAACAGGCAGTATAACATACTTAAATACACTGCTGAGGGGAGCAGTGAGCTAGACAGGAGAAGTCTGCCATGGGTCACTTCCTGGCTCGGGATTGAACTCATGCTGCAGTAGATGGGATAGTTTCATAGTGCTGTGCTTTAACCCGTTGCACCACCAGGGAGGGCCCCATGACTATGTTATTTAAAATCACATTGCTCTTTCCAAATGCCTCATTCGTTTCCACTGCATTTCTTTACCTTTTTTTTTTTTTTTTACCATCAGCTAATAGATAAGTAGGGTGTAAACTACTTGGGGCTAGAAAGTTCTTGTCCTTCATGTCCCTGCTGGTTGTGAGACCCTAAAACATTGTTAGGCACACAGTAAGAATTCACATACTGGCTCTCCCTGCTGGCGCAGGGGGTTAAAGCACAGCACTGAGAAGCTGAGGCTGCTTCCGCATGAGTTCAGTTCCCGCCTGCCCCGGAGGTGACCACATGGTGCGGCAGACCTCTCCTGACCCGCCCGCTGCTCCCCTCAGCAGTGTACTTCATAGATCTGCCTGTT